GTAATGATTGGTGATAAGTGTAATACTGTATTAGTGGATAACGTCTACAGTAATGATTGGTGATAAGTGTAATACTGTATTAGTGGATAACGTCTACAGTACTGTTTGATATTACTTTCAGTATTGCTTGGCAGAGAGAGGATGAGCGTAATAAAAAGTTAAAACCTTTGTTGGCTCTTGTTAGCCTGATTTTCATTGTTCTCAAAATTTGCCACTTTTTCGTATATATTACTTTAGGATCGGTCACGACGTTTAATAGGCGAGGTGGAAACACTAAACGGAATTCATGATAAAACGATACAGGACTTTGATTAAAAAACGCACGAACTTCTGATGGTGATGTTCCAATACCTTCAGCTTAGAAAGCCTTTAGAGCATTAAGAGTGTTAAACTTTCTTCTCCTTATTGATTTACGGCTTCAGGGTTGAAATCCGATCAGTCGTCAAATAATGAGGCCATCCTCTGCCTGAGCATGCAGAAAAAAACAATACTGCTTTCGCGTATAGTACATTGGTCAGAGCGACACTATGATAAATAGTTTCTGGCAGGCAGTAGGATTTGAAAGCTTTCTTGCGAGATCAATGATTAGCCCCGCGTCTCTTGTTGTGTAATATTATCTCAGGTCAACGAGCCATCTCAGAAGCGTAAGAGAATATTGGTGAAACGATATAGGACAAAGAATCTTGTTAATAAAGTTGCTGATGGCACATAGATATATAGATTATAAGTATTATATATTTAAGGCTCGGGGATTGCAATGGCTAAATATCCTCAGAGAGTATAAATCCTCGTGTCTTATAACTCTGGAAGGTATACATTCTGAAAAGTTGAATGGCATACGATCTCAAGTGTTTTAACTCTTTGAAATCGTACACCCCATGTATTATATTACTCTCGAGGGTATATATGTTAATGTTTTACACAATCTAATAACGCCGAAGCTGCGACAAAACTAACAAACAATCAATATAATGGAATTTTTATAGTCACTTCAGATCAATTATACTGGAAGAGGTGGCTTAGTGTACGAACGTGTTTCAGTACAACCATGACTTCTTGAACCGTGTACTCGAAGCAATGGTTTAGTGAACGAACGTGTTTTAGTACAACCATGACTTGCTTTGATGAACGAACGTGTTTTAGTACAACCATGACTTGCTTTGACAAACGAACGTGTTTCAGTACAACCATGAC